ATCACCATTACCTATTCCAAAACTTTTTCATCACTATAAACAAATTCTGTAACCATTAGGCACTAAACCCCCCCCACTCCTCCCTTCCCTCAGGCCCTGGTAACCTCTTACCTACTTTCTATCTCTATGAATATGGCTGTTCTAGATAATTCATATAAGTAGCGTCATACAATATTTGCCCTTTTGTTTCTGGATTATTTCCCTTAACAAAATTTCAAAGTTCATCCATGTTATAGCGTGTATCTTGACTTTGTTCCTTTTTATGGTTGAATAGTATTTCATTGTATGATATACCACATTTTGTTTATCCATTCATCTGTCAGTAGGCACTAGGGTTGTTTTCACCTTTTGGCTATTATGAATAATGTGGTAATGAACACTGATATACAAGTATCTATGTGAGTCCCTTTCTCAGTGCTTTTGGGTGTATACAGAGGAGTAGAATGTAGGGTCATCTATGTTCAGTTTTTTGAGGAGCTGCCAAGCTGTCTTCCATAGCAGCTGCATCATTTTACATTCCCACCAGAAATGTGTGACAGTTCCAGTTTCTCCACATCCTTGCCAACACTTATTTTCCCTTTTCTTTTTTTAAAATTGTAGCCATGCTAGTAGATGTGAAGTCATATCTCACTGTGGCTTTGATTTGTATTTCCCTAATAATGAATGATGTTGAGCATCTTTTCATGGTCTTATTGGCTATTTATGCATCTTCTTTAGAGAATTGTCTATTCAAGTCTTTTACTCATTTTTCAACTGAGTTGTCTTGTTTTCCTTGAGTTGTAATTGTTGTGTATATACTGGATATTAAACCCTGTCAGATATATAATTCACAAATATTTTCTCCCATTCTGTAGTTTGTCTTTTTGCTTTCATAATAATTTCTTTGCATAAAAGTTTTAAATTTTGATGATGTTGAATTTCTCAATTTTTTCTTTTTCTGCTGTGTTGTTGGTGTTTTATTTCTAAGAATCCATTGTCAAATCCAAGGTCATGAAGACTTATCCCTATGCTTTCTAAGAGTTTTATGATTTTAGCTCTTACATTGTTACGGCCCTTGATCCATTTTGAGTCTTTTTTTCACATTATGTGAGGTGAAGTGTCCAACTTCACTCTTTTGCATGTGCAAATACATAGCACCATCTGTTGAAGAAACTATTCTTTCCCCACTGAATGGACTTAACACTCTTGTCAAAAATCAGCTGACCATATATGTATGGGTTTATTTCTGAACTCTAAATTCTGTTCCAGTCATTTATCCTATGACATATCACCATGTTTGGATTGCTATAGCTTTGTGGTAAATTTTGAAATCAGGAAGTCCACATTTGTTCCTTTTAGAGATTGTTTTGGCTACCCAGGGCCCCTTGCATTTCTGTATGAATTTGAGGATTGTCTTTTCCATTTATGAAAATAACCCAGCTCTTTTCATTTAGAGAATGAAAGGGAAATCCTTAAGTGCTGGAATAAAAATCAAAGCCAGAGCAGGGAATGATAACTGGAAACAATGAAGTCCACAGGCCTATCAGGTAGACTTTTATGGACTATGTGGGGAGCCTTAGATGGCTGTGAGGTGGCAGCATGGCTGGAGTTGGGGCTGATGCATAAAGCTAGACTGCACAAAAAGGTAAAACAGGAATTAGAAAAATACTATTTACTGACTAGGTAAAGTGGCAAGAAAGTTTACTGTATGTTTGAGTTCCTATAAATAATAATTAGAAGAAAAGAAATAATAAAAAATTGGCAGCCAGAGACGGGTAAGATTCCTCAAGGGAGGAACAACCTAAGACAGTCACAGTCGCAGGGGGGCCATCAAGTGAGAAATTGGGAACCAACAGAGGTGAGGCTTAGAACCTCACCCCCCCTGTTTTGAGAGAAATCTTCTGCATCTGTGGATGTTTTGTTGCCCTTGTCTAGCTTGGATTAGCACATAGTCTACAGGCACACACCTGATCATCTACAATTGCTCTTACAACACTAAACTATGTTTTCTACCTTTATCTTGCATCTACCTACCACTTCAGCAGTTTATTAAAAATAAAA